ACAAGGATCGAGGGGGCAAGTTGTCTTTCTCACACTTCCAAGCAGCTTCCATGTAGGCCTGATATTGCTAAAATGCCTATGCCAAGAGCCATGTATCAATATCTCAATAGGTCCAAAATCATAGGATACAGAACCAGTTATTTTTCTGACCCCTTTTATCCCCATCAGAACTTTAGAGCAATTCTCCACTGCCATTTTATTCCATCTTCAATCCCATCCTCAGTTGTTTCCTAATTAACATCCCACCTTTTTTCATCCACCTTCCTTAGCTTTTCAGTTGGCAGAAAGTTACTTCCCTTCAGTCACAAAGTAGGCTACAAAAGATACCAACTAACCCATGTTTCTCCTATATTCAAACCAATATTCCAATTACAACAGTACAATACCCTGTGTGTCCTCAATTTTGGATTCCAATCCAACATAAGTTGTATGATAATTTGAGCATTAGACTATGGAGTTTTCCAGCCCCTGGGCCTTAGGTTGCCTACCCCTGATTAAGAGTAATGCAAAGTGTGTGTGTGTGTGTGTGTAGAGCAAAGAAGGGAGGCATGGGACACTTTTTAACCTAAACACTTTCTCAGAAAGGAGATGTATTTTAATCAAGGCCAAGTTAAAGGTAATTGACAGGTGCATATAATTTTAGCATTTTATCACCTGTTTGTACTGTTACTATGATGCTATTTGCCTGCTGTACTGCAGGGGTGAAGGAAACATAAAGGACTGCATTCTGGGTTCTTTCTTTCTTTCTTTCTTTCTTTCTTTCTTTCTTTCTTTCTTTCTTTCTTTCTGAGAAAGCCTAAGAGCAGGGAATATCTTGATATTATTGTTTGGGCTATATGCTTACCTTATACAAAACATATTCTCAAAATGCTCAGAAATGGCACAGCTGTTTCCAGAGTTTGAGAAAGTTACTTTTTGGACAAGAGCTTCCTCAGACTCTTCCAGGTAGCATTTTTTTCCCATTACATATTAACTAACATTTAATTCCTGGCCCCACTCACTGCCACACACGGTGTCACAAAAACTGTGAGGAGAAGCAATGCCCCCTTCATCTCCAAAGCGTGCAATTGCAAGCACCGAGTGTTTTCAGAGGGCTTTGCAAGATCCCTTGAACTGTGTCCTAGTACAAAAGAGGCTTTGAAATGAGAAACACGTTGTCATGGCGTGTTCCAAGCCAGCAGCCCTAGAATGAACCAGATAATTGCAACTTTGGCTGCCTCTGCACTGAAAGCAAAGCAGTACAAGTCTCATGTCAAGTTAGCTTCCTCCTCGTATGACTGAGGCAATGTTAGAGTCCTTTAAATACTTTTTTTTCTGAGGAGAAATGCACTCAGGGAAACAGAAAATTAATACCACACCTGTGGTATTCTATGTTCTTTTCGAATTGCCAGTATTTTCCTATCCAGTCCTGGTTTTGGGTTGCCCTGTAGAAACGGCAGAGGCCTTTTTGCCAGCTGAGGTAAAATGAGTTCTCTAGTCTCAGGCCATTTATGGAACCAAAGCCATGTGTGTCAGTAGATGCCAATCCTTTAGTCCGCAGCTGGGCAAAGTGCAGCTCTAGGGCTCATGTGGCCCTCAAGGATGTTTTTGTGGCTCTCAGCACCTCCAGAATCCTCAAACTGACTTTTTTCTGGACAAAAGAAGAGGGTGATTGGCTACTTCTGAAAATGTCCAGGTTAGGGTTGCCAGACTAAAAACTGTAGAGGGCTCCTATACTTTTAATGGTGCGTGAGACCCAGTGTGGCACAGTGGTTTGAATGTTGGACTACAACTCTGGAGACCAGGGTTCAGTTCCTGGATGGTCCATGAAACCCACTGGCTTGGGCAAGTCACACTCTCTCATCCTCAGGGGAAGGCAATGACAAACTTGCTCTGAACCAACCTTGCAAAAACAACAACAACAACAACAACAAACTATGATAGGGTAGCCATAAGTTGGAAACTACTTGAAAGCACACAACACACACACACACACCAGGGCTTTTCCAGCTGTCAGATGAGAGAGACCAGCATTTTCCCGCCACACACTGTGCCAGGGACTGGCACTAAAATTGTTTCTTTCTTTCCTGGAAACTTGTTTCTTTCTTTCCTGGACCAGCAGACAATGTCTCAGAGACAAGCAGTAGTCCTTGAGTAACAATAGTGTTAAAAGAGGGTATTTCAGCAGGTGTAACCAAGGGACAAGCAATATCTGATGATATTCTCCCCTGCACAACCATTAAAGCACTGAAACTGTCTCTGGTTTTCAGTCTGGCAACCCTACATGGGTAGAAAAATTTTAAAATAGGGTTCAAGAGAACTGCAGTAGCTCTTCCCTGTAATGTTTATCAACAAAAAATATACCCGTGTTTGAAAACCAGAACTGGACCTCAAGCCACTTTTGAGGGGTTTTTTGTTTTATTTTTCAGTAGTCCATTCAACCTCCGTAGGGTCCCCAGAGCTACTGCAGTTGCCCAACTCTGCTGTAGTGGGACATGCGAGACTGACTTTTGGCAACCTTTAGCTATTTCACAACAGCTTCATACATGCTTCATCAAAAGAGTAAAGAGTAAACTAAGATGTAACTGTGGGAAAGTGGTGTGTGGGGTGAGAGGAAGAAATACTTAGAATATAATGGTACTGAAAGCAGTTCAAA